GCTAATGTGCTCTCATTGTACCTGTAGGTTTTATCACACAAAGCTAAAACAGAAGTGTTCCCTGGCAAACAAACAATCAAATAAAGACATAAATAATTACAAGATCCCAACTGTCAGATCTAGTAACTTCTGGGAAGGAAAGAAATGTGATACCAGAACTTATGACAAAGGGTGGGAGATAATGGTGGTGTCATAAAGCCTTTTCTCAGTAAATGAGGGGCAAGGACCTGTGAAAATGATGGTTCTCTACTTGCTGCATGTTGCACTCACCTGGAGAGCCTTAAGTGTCACTTCTCAGACTACATCCCAGACCAATCAAAGCAGAAACCCGTGGGGTCAGCGCAGGTATTGGTATTTTTTCAGCTCCCTGGGTGATTCCAACATGCAGCCTAGGTTTGGAACCACTACATTATAGGCTGCATAGAAAGTATTTAGGCATCATACAAAAGCAGGAAATGTGATGGTAATGCCAAAACCAAGAGGCTTTTATGGGGAAAAAAAAGAAGAAGGCATAAGATTTGTCCATGAATATGCTCAGTCGTTCAGTTATGCCTGACTCTGTGACCCAACAGACTGTAGCCCATCAGGCTACTCTGTCTATGGATTTCCCAGGCAAGAATTCTGGAGTGGGTTGCCGTTTCCTTCTCCAGGGGAATCTTTCCAACTCAGGGATTGAACCTGGGTCTCCTGCCTTGGTAGGCAGGTTGTTTACCACTTAGCCACCAGGCAAGCCCAAACTTATAGTTACCAAAGGGGAAAGCGGGGGAGGAGGGACAAATTAGGATTAACAGATGCACAGATATTACTGTATATAAAATAAATAACAAGTACCTACTGGATAGCACAGGAAACTGTATTCAATACCCTATAATAAATTATAGTGAAAAGAATATATGTATGAATCACTTTGACGTGCACCAAAAACTATCATGCTCAGTTGCTAGGTTGTGGCTGACTCTTCTGTGACCAATGGACTGTAGACTGCCAGGCTCCTCTGTTCTTGAGATTTCCAGCAAGAGTACTGGTGTGACTTGTCATTTCCTTCTCCAGGGGATCTTCCCTACCCAGGCATCAAACCCATGTCTCCTGCATTGACAGATAGGTTCTTTATTCCTAAGGCACCAGAGAAGTGCCCAGAAATTAACACGCTATTCTAAATCAGCTATACTTCAATTTAAAAAAATAAAAAACAAAAAGAAGAGATGGTTTCTTTCCAGCCTCTTGGCTGGGCTTATGTATTGCTTCAACCAGTAGAAAGCAGAGGAACTGATGATATGCCATGGTCTTGGTCTCAAGAAGTCTCATGTGATCTTATTCTCTTGCTCAGCTAGCCCAGCAGAGAATGAGAGCCACTCATGGCTCAAACATCCCCACTACCTCAGCCAGCAGTCAGTCAATACCCTTAGACTCAGAGCTACCTAGGTGACCTGTGGCAAGCAAAAACACGTGATAGAGCCCAGCCAAGGCAAGAAGAAGCATCTGGCTGACCCAGCCTCAACTCCTGAGCTGCAGAGTCATAAGCTAGACAAATGGATATATTTTAAGTCATTAAGTTTTGATATGCTTTGTTAGACAGCTATAGCTGACTGATAAAGTGAGCTTTAGAATGGGCTTCCCCGGTGGCTCAGCGGTAAAGAATCTGCCTGCCAGTGCGGGGGACACAGGTTCAGTCCTGGATTCGGGGAGATCCCACGGGCAGTGGAGCAACGAAGCCCGAGCACCGCAGCTGATGAGCCTGGGAGCTGCCGCTGCTCGAATCCTGTACAGCCCGCGCTTCATGAGAAGAGGAGCTGTTGCAATGAGAAGCTCGTGCACCGCAACCCTGCTCGCTGCAACTAGAGAAAAGCCAGTGCAGCAACGAAGACCCAGCACAGCCAGAAATAAATACATGTTTAAAATTATTAAGAAATAAGCATTAGGAAACTTTACAATAATTTCTCATAATACAGTTTGCATAATGAGTCTGAAGCCTTCTGAATGGTGATCCTTGTGAGAACCATGTTAACTAAAAATAAAAGTTGGGAATGTTAACTATACTTTCTGTATTGTAGCTGTCAGCCTTTGCTGTTTTACTGTGATATAATTATCCAATTAATTTGGTTCAAATCAAAGACAGGGAGGTTTCTAAGTAGCAATGGTTCGTCTGTTTTCGTAGAAATGAGAACATTAAAGGAACATGAGTTTGTAATTGTATGGCAGGCTATTTATTAGCAGGAGCGATTTTGGAGCAAGAGGCTTCAAGATGGATTTTTGTTCTATTAAAAAATAATCACAGAAACCTGCCTTCCAATCCCAGGGCACAAATAATTTAATTGAAGTGTATAAAGCAGGACACGTGAACAAGTCACTCTATTTTCCTCATCCACATTGTGTGTGTGTGCGCCTCACACTACATTTGCTTTATTATCAGTCTTGATAAACTCCAAGGGAGAAAGCCACTTGATTTTGTCACGAAATGTCTCTAACACATCTTCCACAGTGTGGGATCTCCTTTCAGGCATTCACATCTGAGTGTCACTTGCTCATGGGCCTTTCCCCATGACTGAGGTCACTTGTTGGACATGTGCCGGTGGGAGACAAGCAAGCATGAGAAACATGGGGGTCCCGCCCGCGGTTGTGTATTCTGGGCTGTGCCCTTTTAGTGACCTCCATATAGGTTTTCTACCTACCTCTGAATATACTCGTATATACACACAACATCCCCAAATTTGTTGGGAACTTGGAATTTAAAAATTTATTAAGCCCTGTTTTGATTTTAAAACACCAGTTATTTCTTAAGCTTCTGAAATATCCATTTTCAATACATGAAGGAGTCTATGCTTCTAAGAAATATATTGGCTTCTTGGCTGGGGAGGGTAGTGGTTCTCCCTCTGTCCATTTCTGCCAGCATTTTCCTCCATTTCCCTGCAGTGGAGTCTGAGGGGATCACCCGCCATGGATCATGGGTCCATGGAAATAGTTGAGAGGCTCTTGGGCAAGACAGTGTTGTATGGTTGATTTGAGACTGATTGGGAGATTGGAAGACTTGCTGTAATTCTCACCTGCCACTCTTTACTGAGTGATCTTGGGTGAGTCATTTAGCCGCCAACTAGTTCTCCTTTCACTTAGGAAACAGGAAATTGGAGTTGACAATCTCTTGAGTTCCTTTATAGCTATTTCTTTTCACAGTTAACTAGGCAATGCCAGAAGACAGTGCTCACTAATATGGCCATTGGATGGTATACATGATTTTCATTGTTTTGTTTAAGAGCTCAGATAAGAAAGAATTTTAAGGTGTTTCCCCAACCATCCTTCCCAATCTGACTCTAACAGCCAGGTTTGAACTCAAAAAGTTCCTTAATGTCCGTATCCAAGTAGTATTTGCAACTGCACATTGATTATGAAATAATATAGAGGTATTTCCATTTAATATGTTAAAAGTAAACATTTTGATCCTCGAAAGGTACATTTAAATTTTTTTGGAGCTTTTACTCATATAATTTGGAATAATGCATGTGATTCCCTGGTTCTGGAAGTCCTTATCAGAGGAATGACAGATCTTTCAGCAACTCCATTAAGCTGTCTCTACTGAAACATATTCTGACACAATGGTTTAGTTAAGAGTTACACTGTTAACCAGAGGATGCTGCTGTTTTAAGAGAAGAAAGCTTTTCTTTTAGGGAAAAAAATATTTTTTGATCAACTTTGGCTAAGGCTTAAGCAAAGATTTATAGGTTTCATGACCCATTTGTCATGGGTCTAGGAGAAATGAGTTTTCTATTGATGAGATGTCCCCTGTGATTACAGTTTATCTTTGGAATGGGATCTAAAGGATGAAGAAAGAGAGATGATAAGAAATGTATCTTCTTTTCCCTGGGAAAGCTTAGGAGAAAGGCAACATTTACCACACAGTTCCTCCCTCATTTCATGGGTGGTAAACTCTCATGAGTCCCATCCTGGAGTGTGTGTGATCTGAGGTACCCCTGCTGGTGTAAGACACATATAAGACAGGGGACTAACCCTTTCTGCTACTTGACATTTTGCTCTACTATACTGATTTGACAGTTGGGACGGGCTAATTTATGTGGCAAACTCTGACAAAATTTCTTATTTGCACTGCTCACTACATTTGCATTCTAAAGTTTACAAATCTTGACAATGACAACCTAGTAGGTATTTTGATTTGTTTTGTTTTGGGGGGTGTGTGTGTGTCTGTTGTGTTAGCTTTTTTTGAAGTGTGATCCATATGCAAAAAAGTGAGCATATCACAAGTGAATAACTTCATGTATTTAAGAACGGAATCAATGTGTAACCAAAGATCAAGAAACAGTCCTTTTCCAGCTCCCCCGGGACTCTCCCTCCCAACCCCTCCCTGATCCAGAGTAACCTCCCTCCTGATTTCTAACAGCATGGTTTAGTTTTGCTTATTTTTGTCTTTACATAAAATGAACTGTACAGTATTACTCTTCAGAGTCTGACTTCTTTCCCTCAACATTATGTTTGTGGGATTCTCCCGTATCCTTCAAATTGCTATTCAGTAGTCCATTATGTGAATATACAAGACTCATTATCCATTCCACCACTGTTGAGGCACATTTGGGCAATTTCCACTTTGGGGCTTTTAGCAATAATGCTGCCCTAAACACTCTTATGTGTCTTCCAGGGAACATATGTACACCTTTCTCTTGGGAATATGCCTACATATGCAATTTGTGGCTCATAAGTATGCATTTTCTCTCTAGGATGATGTTCGAGTTGGGTATGCAGAATTGATGAAATTGTGAAACCATGCATTCAGTTGTTTGGAGCCTGAAGTAAGTGTTGTTTGGGGAAGAGAGGAGAATGTGGAGGAGCATAACATTTTTATTCTCCAGAACACGTTCCAGTGCTTCTGAGCTCCCGTTGTTCTTCCATGGCAGCGGCAGGAGTTTGAGAGTGTGCTGACATGGCCCCTTCTGCGGGGATGCTGGACGGCCTTCTTGCCACATGACCCCTTCTAGCCCAGACCTTGTGAGGCTTACGGAAAGTGGCCTTGGCTCCTCTGTGTTCATTTCCGGCCCCAGGTTGCTCATCGCTCCCCGTGCCCATTTGAGGTAACACACTGACAGTTGTCGAGATGAATCATGGCTCTTTCTCAGACACGCAGCGAGACCGGGTTTGTGACTAACAGACAAATCCTCTGGACCTGGGCTGAGCCACCAAGAGCCACCCTTGTCCAGGCAAGTTCAGGCCTGAGGTACAACCAGTTTTCCTCTGCCAGTCAGCAGGGAAAACAAGCATCAGCAGAACAGTGATAGTTATCTGCTCTTCTGATTTTGAAGACACTTTGCTTTTCCTCAAGCCCCTTCATTTCCTCCAAAAAGTTGTGTTAGCTTATTTGTGGCCCCTGATGTGCGCCTGCCTGCTATGCAGCTGCTCAGAATCCAGGAGCGTGGCATGAGTAATAAAAGCCTCCAGGGAGAGGAGGTCTCAACAGTGATGCCAGTGGGGGTTGAGCGCTGCCCTCCTCCTACCCATCTTTTACTCTGGCTCTGCCCTTTTGTCTGCAGAGATAGATTAAAATAACGAAGGACTTGAAAGCTTTGAAGGGAAATGAGACGTGAGGAAGGACAATGGGGATCTTTGGGTGGGAGGTACTGACTATCTGCATCGATGTTCAAGTCTCCTTAGAATTTCTGGGAAGCCGTTTCCTGATCAGCCCAAGCAGACTTAGTTACTCCAGGGTTGTGTGTGCCTGTGTGTTAGGGAGATATCACCACCAGGTTTTACAATCACCTGCGTGCTGCTGGTTCTGCAGCATCTTCACAAAACCAGCCCTCATTAACGCAAAAGAACATTCAATTCTGTTGGCTACAAGTAGATATTTCCTTGCATATGAATTGGGTAACATTTTGCATCCCTTGGAATTGGCCTCCTCGCACCATCTAAGGACAGAAGAGGTGGGGCTTTAACTTAATTTCAAGAGACTGGACAATTTCATTCTCACCTGCTGAAAGCACCATGTTTATTGAAAAGGAACTCTCAGAGTGGGCTCAATTAAACCCAGACAGTTTAATTTAACTTGTTCTTAATTGTAAGGGGTTATTTTTTCTGGCATAGAGCCACTCAAAATTTTATCTGAGCGTTCCCCAGATAATTTCCATCTTTTTGCAAAAGTTTCTCGGTGATGTTCAGAATTCCTTTGCAGTGGGACATTTCAGGTTTTTTTCTTTTTTGACTCTGCTTTACATCATTTGGGGGTGTATGAATTGGTAGAGGTTGGCAGATTTCCTCTTCATAGATCTACAACTTGTCTCCAGAGGTCAAGGCTGTTTTCCATAGAGCTGGAGGTATCTAACAATGGCAAGCCCATCATTACATTCAATGAGTCATTCTGTGTCTCAGACTTCTTGTTGTTATTGCCTGGTCACTGTTACAAACAAAGGCCTACTGCTATTGCTGAGGGGATAAGAGGTAGGCATAGGGATGGGGACTTAGCGTTAGGGAAAGATGTTTCATTAGCCTCGTAATGCTTTGCAAAGTGTGGTCGGTCTCTGGGTCTGCAGCAGCAGCATCACCTGAAAACATCTTAAACAAGGAAACCTACAGAATCAGAAATTCTGGGGCTGAGCCTAGTGATCTGTGTTTTTAACAAATAAATCTGAAACAGCTGAAGTTCAGGATCAGCTGCACTCATAAAAGAATATCTTTGCCAGTCTTCGGTATTAGGGCATACGCTTTGGGAATGTCACTGTTTGGCTTTTGGGGCATTTTGTTTGTTGGCTTGTTTGTCATCTGCTTTTAGTTTTCAGTGGTGATAATCCATACTGAGTAAAATGAGACATATAAAATAACTACACACAAAATATTAGATATAATTTCCTTAAGCCTGGGCTCTCTTCTCCAGAAGAGGATCATAGGATCATAGGAGAATGGCTTGGAAGTATATTCAAAGTCTAGCTCCTCACCTTGTATATATGAAAAGCATGTGATTACATCTCTCATCTTAGGCTTGTAACCTGAATGCCTTAGACGAGGTTCCTCCTCTTAAGTTTCTGAATAGGTTTCTAAGAGTCTTTTTTTAAATGTTTTCTTTTGCTTGGTTGTTTTGAAACAGTGTTTTGGTTTTCTACTTTTTTCTTCTATTTCTTTCTGGAAATATCTCTTAGGGGATCCTTAATTATGGTCTTCTCTTGAGTATATATGACAACAGAAAACTCTTGAGTTACAACTGGAAAGAATAGAATGAAGAAGAAGGCTGTGTTGCTACTGCTATGCCAGCAAGTCATGATAGTTGCTCCACAGGGAGAGAGAAAGGATTGGGAGGTTCACTTCCTAAAAGGTAAATGGATATGTGATCTGGTGTTATTGGGGAGGAGAAATCATGCAACAAAAATTATCGTGTGTTACTTCCCATGTCAAATTGGTTGAAAGCTTTGACAACTACCCATTTAGTTATTGGATCATCAACTCCATGTGTCTAGTTAAGGATCCAGTTAAGGTACAGTAGTCTGCCTCTACCTGAAGTACGTGCAAGGGCTTCTAAAATGCACAGTCTACTTTTCAATTGTTGGCTAGTAATTTTTACAACTTCTTCTATCCTTAAAGCAAGCATGGAGTAGAAACTTAACATCCTTTCTCCCTACCCCCATCATCACCCCCCCCCCAAAAAAAAACCCCATAAATATTAGATGAAAAGAATAGTTGATTCTGTGGAGAACTAGACATTAGGAAAGTAACCAAACTATAATCAAATGAATTGAAACTTCAGGAATTGAATGAGATATTTTGAAGGGGTAAAGGACTAATATAGAGACCTTTAATTGGTTATAAAACAATTTGTCAAGTATTTTGGGACAAAGATGAAGGTGGTAAATTTCTCTGAAATAGTTTAACTCCACTGTAATAACAAATGCAAACGTCTAAATGTATGTCACAGACTAACATTTTCTTTGAAAGAGGAAACCATGGGAGACCTTGCAAATGCTTCAGGAAAGGAAAGTGATGCAATTATAAATTGGTGAGCAAGCATGGGCTTTATATGAAGACTCTTTTTCTCTTTGAAACTTGAAAGCCCCCCCTCCCCTCTGCTCTCTTCAAAGGCATTCCACACCAGGGAAAACGGCTTAATGGCAGTTCAGTTAGCCCAGGCTGGGCGGCGAGGTCTGGAGTGGGAGCCCCAGGTCCCTCCCACCTCCGTCCCTCTGCCCCGGCTTCCAGCTTATCCTCCACATCCAGCTGTTCTTCAGGGGCCCATCTGGGAGCCAGGTTAGCCCAGGACGCCCCAGAGCCTTGAGATGCTTCATCTCATTTGTTTGTTTACTCTCTCCCTGCCAGTCAGACTGAGCTTTTCATTAGAATGAAGGCTGGGATTCCTGAATCAAATCCAACTGATAGAATCTGATTACTCTGCTTTCAGACTCATTTGGCTAATATTAATGTTAATGCTTTCAGAAAGGTACTGTAAAAAATCACTTGTTGAGGTTATAATTTACATACAATAAAATGTCAGATGGGAAATGTAGAGTTTGATGAGTTAGGCCAATGTACACAACTATCCTGTCAATTAACAAGGACAGCATATTCAGAAATATCCAGAAAGATCCCTGTTGTCTCTTAGAAGTCACTCCCCACCCCTGCCCCAGGCAACCGGTGATCTGATTTCTATCACCATAGATTAACTTTGCCTGTCCTAGAACTTCACACAAATGGAGTCATACAGTATATACACTTTTAGGTCTGGTTTCTTTCACTCAACATAATGTAAACATCCAAATTTATACTCAGGCTTCACATTTTCTTTGAAAGAGGAAACCATGACAGGCTTTGAGAAACTTTCAGGAAAAGAAGCCAATTCACCTGTTTTGTTGCACAGGGAGCGTTTTGCTCCTTTGCATCCCTACATAGTATCCTATGAATATATCCAATCCCTTATTAATGAATATTTGAATTGTTATAGATTAAGATTCAATGAACATTTATGTACAAGTCTCTTTGTGGACATGTGTTTTGATTTCTCTTGAGTAGATACCTGAGAGGTGGATTCATTTGTTCATATTTAACTTTGCAAGCAATGGCCAAATTATTTTTCAGAGTGGTTGTTCATAGACAGTCTATGACAGTTTCTGTGGTGCCATGTATTTGTCAACACTTGATATTGTCAGTCTTTTTAGTTTTAGCCACTCTGGTAGGTGTAATTGGCATCTCATTGTGGGATGGTCAATTTTTTTTTTTTTAATCTCTGACCCCTCCTTTTTTTTTTTTTTTTTTTTTTTTACTGGCAGTTTTAACAAGGGGCCAATCAATAGCATGTGATATAGAGACATAAAAAACTGCCCAGAATGAAATGGACAGATATCACTCACTCATTTTCACAGCTCAACTACTGGGCTATGATCAAATTGCAAATTTTAGGGCATTGTTTCTATTTTCCCTTTTTTTCTTGGAAATTTAATCTACTTTATCTTTCAACATTAAATTTTCTTTAAAGAAGGCAAAAATTGAAGGAAGTCATGTTGTTAGTTTCCTGAGGCTGCCATAACAAATTACTCCAGACTCGGTGCCTTAAAACAACAGGAATTTATTCTCTCACAGTTCTGGATATCAGAAACCTAAGATAAACCACCCTGGGCCCAAACAAGGTGTCTTCAGGGCTATGCTTCCTCCAGAGGCTCCAGGGAGAACCTGCTCCCTGCCTCTTCCAATTTCTGGTGGCTGCTGGCATTGCTTGGCTTGTAATTCCATTCAGTTCAGTTCAGTGGCTCAGTCCTGTCTGACTCTTTGTGACCCCATGAATCAGCATACCAGGCATCCCTGTCCATCACCAACTCCTGGAGTTTACTCAAACTCATGTCCATTGAGTCGGTGATGCCATCCAGCCATCTCATCCTCTGTTGTCCCCTTCTCCTCCTGCCCCTGATCCCTCCCAGCATCAGGTTCTTTTCCAATGAGTCAGCTCTTCACATGAGGTGGCCAAAGTATTGGAGTTTCAGCTTCAGCATCAGTCCTTCCAATGAACACCCAGGACTGATCTCCTTTAGAATGGACTGGTTGGATCTCCTTGCAGTCCAAGGGACTCTCAAGAGTCTTATCC